ATTTCTGATGGATACAAGCCTGGGTTTTAATGAACCATATCCCACAAAGAACAGGCACAAAGCCTGGGGCCAAACATTGTGTAAAGAAGGAAACAAATCATTTATTGAGAACAGCCTGAAACCAAACCACAGATATCAACAAAACAAAAATTCCATAAAATATATCATTTTAAATTACCAAACAAAAAGAAAAAGATGTCAGAGCAAGAAACTATCAGCTTCCCTAAAAACATAGACTCGACTCTGGGCACCACAGATAAGACAGAAGGATCCACCTTAGAGCTAAAGTACATGAAGAATAGAGAGTTAAACCTAGGACAAAAGAATGAGAAGCTAGCAGAATCTTGAGACAGAAGTACTATAGTTCATACTAAAACTTACATATGACAAACCTATAGCCAACATTGTATTAAGTAAGGAAAACTCAAAAAGAATTTCCACAGACCAAAAAACAAAACAAAAACAAAAAAACAAGAAAAAAAAATCAGGAACAAGACAAGTATATCTACTTCTTTCCAGTCTCAACATATTCAATATAGTACTGGATTAGCTAGACAAAAGAAACAAATAAAGGAGTTACAAATAGGAAAGGAGGATGTAAAAGTGTCCATACTTGTTCCTGTTATGATTCTCTAAGAGATCCTGAAAACTCAACCAGATAACTCTTAGAACTGATAAACATATTCAGCAAAGTGTCAGGATACAAAATCAACAAACAAAAATCATAACCTACTTCTCTAACAATGACAAGCATACTAAGAAGGAAACAAGAAAAAAAAAACATCATTCATAACAGCAAAACAAAACAAGCAAACTTGGAATGAACCTCACTAATGATATGGAGGATCTCTGTAATGAAACTTCAAAACACTGAGGAGAGAAATTGAGGAGGTGTGAATGAAAATTCCTGAAAAGAAGTTGTGTCTGGCTGTGAACAAAAAACTCCTGAAAGGAGTCTGCCTGCAGAGGCTGATGGACTGGAACTTAAGTACTGTGGAGAGATTAAAATTTTGTAGATTCAGAGGCTAATTACTTTATTTTGGGCTAGTTTTAGTCTTCTGGAACAGCCTTCTCTTGACCCACTCTTTATCTGAATTAATACCTGGTGATAATAAATAAAAACCTCTTAGATGTTATTAACTTTGCAGTACAGCAGCTTCCACCAATCCAAGAGCTAAGAATAGCATCAGATAACATCTTAGGCTTCTAAATTAGCTCCTCCATCTCTTTGTACCGGTGAAAGCTATCTTGATTTATGACTTTCTTCGCTCTGTAAAACTATAAATTCTGTGAAACTGCTTCCACAATGGAACATGAAATCTGCGGTGACCTCAATATGTGGTCCTGGGCCACGATCACTCATATTGGCTCCAGAATAAACTATGTCTTATTCTATTTAAGATGAGAATTGTGGTTTTTATGTCGAAAGAAAAACTTCCCAAATTCATGGACTAGAAGAGTAAATATTGTGAAAATGATTATCCACCCCAAAATCAATCTACTGATTCTATGTAATGTGGGGGTAAATTCTAGCAACATTCGTCCCAGAAATGGAAAGGCAGTCTTAAAATCCATATGGAAGTGCAAACAGCCCTATGTAGCCAAAGCAATCCTGAGCAAAAAATGCTGATTGAAGTATTTCCACAACTGATTTCAAGTTAATTCACAGATCAGTATTAATTAAAAAAAGGCATGGTATTTGCACAAAAAGAGACACATACACCAATGGAATAGGAGACCAATGCAACTATGGCCACATGACCTTTAGCAAATATGCCACAAATGCACACTGGAGGAAAGGAAGCATCTTCAACAAATCGTGGTGGGAAATCTGGGTATCTACATGTAGAAGAATGAAACAACATGCTTATTTCTTACATGCACAAAAGCCAACTCCAAGCACTTCAGGGGCCTCAACATAAGACCTGATACTCTGAAACTACTAGAGAAAAAAGCAAGGAATGCATTTCAAGATAAAAGCATAGTAGAGACTTTCTTAATAGAACCTCTATCACACAGAGACAAGACCAAAAATCAACAAATGGGACTATTGTGAAATTAAATGTTTTGTATGTAAAGGAAATTGTCAAGTGAATGAAGAGACAACCTACGGAAGGGGAGAAAAATCTTTGCTAGTTATATACCCAGCATAGAATTAGTATTTAGAATACACAAACAACTCAAGAAAACAAATAACCCAATCTAATGGAAGGTGTGTGTGTGGGGGGGGAACTGTGGAACTCAACAGAGCATTTTCAAAAAAATAAATAAATACTAATGGCCAATAAACATTTTAAAGGTCTTCAAAATTATTAGAGAAAATGAAAATTAAAACTATTTTGAGATACCATCTTACCCCAGTCAAAATGGCTACCATGAAGAAAATACTGGAGAGGATGCCAAGAAAGGTAAATACTTACGAGCTGAGAATGGGAATATAAATTAATGAAGCCACTACGAAAGTGTCTTAGATAGCTTTATGCCAACTTGACACTAGCTAGAGACATCTAAGAGGAGGAAATATCAATTAAAAAACTAACTCTGTCAGACTAGGCTATAGGCAAGCCAGTGGAGCGTTCTCTTAATTAATAATTGATGTGGGAGGGCCCAACCCATTGTGTATGGGACCACCCTGGGCTGGTGATCTTGGGTTCTATAAGAATGCAGTTTGAGCAAGGCATGAAGAGCAAGCCAGTAAGCAGCATTGCTCCAGGGAAGGGCTTCTGCATCAGCTCCTGCTTCCAGAAGCCTAGTCTGACTTCATCTTGACTTCTTCCCTCAATAACTATGATTCAAGATATATAAGCCAAATAAATCTTTTCTGTACCAAGTTTCTTTTGGACATGATGTTTTGGTCATGATGTTTTACAGCAGAATAGTAACTAAGACAGGAAATCAGTGTATAGGTGTCTTAGAAAGATAAAGAGAAAACTACCATATGACTTAGCTATACCACTCCTGGGCTTATATTCAAAGCATTCATCCTATTACAAAGATACTCAGACATCCATGTTCATTGCTGTTCTAGTGACAATAGCTAGGAAATGGAATCATCCTGAATGTCCAGCAACTGATGAACAAATAATGAAAATGTGTACATATACACAAAGAGTTCTATTCAGCTGTACAGAAAAAAAATGAAATTTACAAGAAAACAGAAGTAACTGGAAAATATTATATGAAAGAGGTACCCCAAGCAAAGAAAGACAAACACCATGTGTTTTCTTTCATGTATGGATCCTAGCTTCAAATTTTTAGATTTGTGTGTTTAATTTGTAGGGTCTATAAAGGTACAAAAGGCCAAAGATGGGAACAGAGAAATCTTGAGGAGTGGAGGAGATAGTAGAGTATGTGTGCCATAAAAATCACTTTGTTGGGTGAGAATACTAGGGGTAAAAGGCTTAAGCAGAGATGGGCGGGCAGGAGGTTGGGAGTAAAGCAGTGGGGGTAAAGCAGAGGACTGTGAAAAGGCCTCAAGGAAACCCCACTACTCTGTAAGCTAATTGGAAAGTATAACTGTTTTAAAAGGGAGTTTAAATGGAGGTACCCTGCATGGGTGAAGAATGCTTCCCCCAAAGACTTGAGTTATCAAATAAAAATCTCAGGGCTGGATGTGAGAAACTTCCCTAGGAGCTGCTGAGAAGGATGCCCCAGAGGCACCTAAACAACACCTTACTACCATTGCTCCTAGCTGTCCATCATAACTACATGGTCAGAACCTACTGCTGAAGACAGGGTACCATTTGCTGATAGCACACAGCGAAAGCTAGCTGGAACTGACCTGCTAACTTACTTCTTGCTGGCTAGTATTCCCAGAGCTAAAGGGTGCTAGGCGGCAGGACAGAAAAAGTAGTCGTGTGAAAGCTGTAATACTGACTTGCCAGCACCCAAAGGAAGCGCAGCCCACAACTAATGAGGTTCCTTAAACGTGTTTTAGAAACAACAGAATTAAGACAAACATATTAAGCACTACATACACACCGAGGAGAGCTAAGAATCATTTAAATAGGTACATCGGATTTCGATCTTAAACTGTCATATAAAAATCTCAAATCAGATCTTTGCAGGTTACTTAAGGCAACAACAGCAGGACTGCATCGGAACTCATTAGGACCCTACATTTGCAGAAGTCTGTGGCTTTAGGAAAATTCAGACATTGCTTCCACATAATTAAGAGACCCAATTAACATTACGTTTTAATGTCTACAACCTCTATTTTTATGTGCATTCGTTTCGAAATTTCCTAGTACCAATCCCCCGCTGGTGAAATCACTAAAATCAAGAGCCACCAGCTTCCAGTCATGCTATGAACCAGGAGACACATCCGAGAATCTTGGAATAAATTGTCTTTCAGACAGCCAGCTCAAAGTACTTCGGGGAACTACCTATAATATTACAACCCCAAATTAGAGTTAGCCAGGGCCTTGCCAAACTAGTCAGCCCCTAGTTTGGCAGATAAGAGAAAACGTGTCACCTGTGAAGGAGTACCAAGGTTGGGTCGACAGCTGGTGAAGCCTGACTCCTCTAGTCCTGCCCACTGGTCCTCCTCTACCGGAGCCCCAGTGCATATGCGCTCACACCCAGCAGGCGAGGAAACAGACACCTCCCTAGCGCCAAGGTTAGCAAAGGTCCTAGGTAAACAAAGGGTCAGCACCTCTTGGCACCGGTTGGGAAGGTGAGCAGGTACGTCACACAGCGTGCTATGTAAAATCGACCTCAGTCTCCTAGCAACCACCTCCCGAGGGTGGGGACGAAGACTGACGATGACTCCTTCAGGTAGACCGAGATCAGAAATACAAACCCAGACCCCAGGTCAGACACGCACCCCGCGCCAACCTCGCAGAGGCGGGCCGCTGTCAGCACTCCCTCCCGACGCACACACCACCCCGCTCCGCTGCATTCCCGGACCTGGCACTCGACTCCACCCCCTACCCAGACGGTCCAGCCCCCCGCAGGAGAGAGGCTCCAAGACCGAGACACCTCCCGTCGGAAAGAGCTACCTGAGCCCCCGCCGCCGCTCGCCGCCCGCCGCAGCGCTTCAGCCTACTTCCGGGGTCGAGCTGACGTTTCGGCCGCCTTAGATGCCGGTCCGTAGCCTCAGCCCCCACCCCTCCAAGTCCCGCCCGCACTGCCCACTCGGCTCGCCCGCAGCGACTTCCGGAACGCCTCGCGTCACTAGGCAGTGCACCCGCACTTCCGGCAGCGTCGCGCCTCTCCCCCGGCCCCCCCCCCCCCGCGCGGACGCTTCTGTGGATTTGATTGGTGGAGCTGGAGCGCAGGCCTCCTCTGATTGGTGCTCGGGAAATCTGCCTTCGTTGGCGCGCCAGCCTGCTCGGAGTCACTTCTGTTCAGCTTTCCCGCGGCCCGGTGAGCGTTCGCGGCCCAAATCATGGTGGACGTGATGGAGCTCCCCAAAGCGCGCATCAACGCCGGGATGCTAGCGCAGTTCATCGACCGGCCCGTGTGCTTCGTGGGGAGGCTGGAAAAGGTGCGTGCGCTCGCAGGCTCGGGCGAGAGGACGGGGCCCCGAGGCAACGGGGCAGTAGGGGAAAAGCTGGTAGCCGTAAGCGCGATTGCCCTGCAGCTGGATGGGTGTTTCACAAGGAAGAGTTTTTCCGCTGCTAAGCCGTTGCTGCGCCGTCTGGGTGCAGCAGAAACAGTGTTTTCCACTGGTCTTTCCGTTTCAGCGCTCCCCGCCCCCTTTCTGTATTTATGAACTTGGCTCCTCTGTCTACTGCCCCACATGTTGGTTTAGCCAGACTTGGATGATGAATCCTCTTGTTTCTCTGTCTTTTGCAACCAGCTGTTTCCCCCGTTGCAGTCGCTTCTCTAGGAAACATTACCATTACTTGATTGCCCCTCCCATATGTTATAGATACCCTGTATCTAACCCAGCCTTAGACTATGGCCCTCTTCCTATAGGTATGAAATGGGCCCACAGTGTCAGAGGCTGTGACTGAGAAAGCCGAAGGAAAGAAAATCATTTGCAAAGACGTATTTACTAGGTCATTTCGTTCACACATGCCCTAAGTGAAAAGTTATTCCAACTTCACAGGTAGACTGAGCCATAGTGCTGGTAAATAGTCGAGCTCAATTCAGATCCCCAGGGAAGTAGTGCTCAGATCTGGCAACCAGTTCTTTCAGATCGTTGTTTTTCATTTTAAAAGCGTACCTTTTTCGAGATGTACTAAAATCATGAATGTTGGCCTAATCCCACTGTTAGGTAGGAAAAACTTCCTTAGATTAGTTTTAGAATACAGTTGCCAGATTTTGCAAATAAGAAGCTACCCATGACACTAAGCAAGGAATCAATGTTTACTAGAAATCCAAAATTAACTAGGTTTCCAATGATCCACATGGTAACAAGATTACAACTTGAACCAAATAAACTGTGTTCAACCAAAACTTCAATGAAATTTTTAAATATTTTGTTGCTGTAGATTCTATTTTCTAAATCTATGTGAATTTTTATTGTTTTTTTTTTTTTTCTCTCTTTTTTAGATTCATCCCACTGGGAAAATGTTTATTCTTTCAGATGGAGAAGGAAAAACTGGAACCATTGAGTTGATGGAGCCGGTATATTGTTTGGTTTATTATTATTTCTGATTTTGGGGGTGGGAGTGTGGGGGTGCACTTGTAAAACTTGCTTAGCTTTAAAATCAAATGCATGCCTTCATATTTTATTTCCATTTCTAACCTTTAGTGATTCTTAGAGCTCCAAGTCTCTGAAAGCGTCCCTTAAGCCTTGGTTGGATAACAATCTTTATTACTTAACAAATGCCCCCAAAATACATTTGAAATCTTCTTTCAAACTTTTTCTTCCATAGTCACATGCCTGACCTTGAAGAGGTGGCCCAGGTGTTCCTCTTGAGTCAGCCTCCTAGTGGTATTGCCAGTCACCTTTATTTTCTATTTTTAATTTTCAAGTTATATTTTTAAAATTATTTTTAATGTATTTAAAAACATTTTTGTGGTCTTTTATGAAGACAAATCATACACTGTTTGGTTACGCTACATAGAACATGCATTCTAAGATTTACACGCAGTTCTTCTCAGTAACTTTTCAAGTAAATTCCTTTTTACAGGGATTCTGAACATCCTCAGTGTCTTTAAATGACTTGGCCTTCAACTTAAATGTCTAACTGTGTCTTTGGATCTTGAGCCACCACTAAAAATAACAGGACTTGGGACTGCCCTATCTGTTGTCTATGTCAACAAAGTTTCTTTTCTCAGTGAAAACTCAGTAAGTTGTGAAACAGTTCGAAGAACAAGGAATCTGTAACAGCTTCCCAAGATCATTATCAATTGAAAAGGTAAATACATCTAATTAACATTGTGTTCAATGTTTAGCTTGATGAAGAAATCTCTGGAATTGTGGAAGTGGTTGGAAAAGTCACAGCCAAGGCAACCATAATGTGTGCATCTTATGTCCAGTTCAAGGAAGATTGTAATCGCTTTGGTAAGTAAAGCATTTTGCTGGTAGTCTTATGTTAATAGGAGAAAAGCTTTTATTTAATATGTGTTGGTCTTAAATCTCAGTCCTGACATACTTTCAATTTCTGTAAAACAAGAAGAGACCTTCATTTCTTTCATGTGAAGGATATTTACTAAATACTGCTAGTTATGGAATAAAAGGGCTTAAGATATTATAAAATTAGTATTTTAAGATCTGAATTGGAAGCTACAACAGAGCATAGTAACACTGAAATTATGACTCAGCAGAAAATAACCATGCTCATCTCTCCTTTGCGGCACCACAGTTACATAAACATGAAAAGAAACTGACTTCTAAACAGGAGAGAAATCCTTCAGATAACATTTGATGCTGCAGATTCGACTATATATTAAGTGTTTGCTTAAATGTTTCTTTTCAGATCTTGAACTTTACAATGAAGCTGTGAAAATTATCAATGAGTTCCCTCAGTTTTTTCCGTTAGGGCTTGTACAACATGAATGAGCTTCTTGAATTTTTTTATGATTGCCAGTGAGCTACATTGAAGGCTGTTAAAGAAGACTCCTTCAGTTTGAGGAGAGACTCCTGTAATTTCTAATATTTAAATTGTTCTTTTTTTATGTAATTTTTTTTGTAAATTTAGTGTGTGACAGTCCACAACTAAGTCTATAAATTTTTTAAAACTAGTAATTCAGTATATGGTCTGAATAAAGCATTTTCTTGAGTTTAGATTTCTATTGTATAATAAAAATCAAAATAACATGCTCTTTGTCAATTGTTTTTTATTTATTCAGTCTCAAACTTGCAATTTCGTAACTGTAAATCGGGTCTTATATCCACCAAATGAAAGCCTTGGCCAACTGTGCTATGGTTTTACTTTCCATCTAACATGCTAATTATTCCTTGATAGGTTATTTAGAAAATGCTTTTGGTGGATGTAAAGAGGAATTTATAATATCTAATTTGTCAAGTTTCTTCATTCTGGAGTTTAAAATAAGCATATACCAGTGACAAACAGGTGATATGTGACCATTGAGAGTTAGTGAAGTCATTTGAGGTTTTTTTTTTTTTTTTTTTTTTTTTTTTCATGTCTTTAAACTGTCATTGTTCTTAGTATGGAATTCCTACATACTTTTTTGTTTTTGTTGTTTTTGGTCCGGAATGTGGAATGTCTCTAAACTATTCTGAGAAATTCTGGACACTTTAGATATAGCCTAAATAGAGGAAGTGTGTCTCTGGAGAGTTGTCTTTCAAGGTTATAAACAGTCCCTGATCCTTCTCTCACTGTACTGTTTCTTGGCCACCGTGGTATGAATTTCTCTTTTCTCCCATTCCTTGTTATCTCTAAGAAACTAAACCCTCTGAAAGCATGAATAACCACTCCCTTTAAATCGTGTATGTGAGGTATTTTGTCACAGCGACAAGAATGGTTACACACACACACACACACACAAACGGTACCAGGGAAGTTGGTGGTTGCTGTGATAAATCTGTGGTTTTTGAATATTAAGAATAGGTATGGGGGAAGAATTTACAAGGGTTTGGAGATCTGATAGAGAAGTCTTAGAATGTGAGCAGTGTTTAATCATGTAATAAATAATGGTGGGAAGACCAAAATACTGATAGAAATAAAGACTACTCATAAGATTTCACATAGAAGTGAGACTCTTGGGAAAAAGTCTGTATTACAGTCTGGGAAAAGATTTGTCTGTATTTTCTGTCCATGTCTTGAGACTAAGTGAGGTTAAATTCAAAATAATGACATTAATTTGGAGGAGGAAATTTGTACAGGTTAAAATTTGGACAGTGACGTGTTCATTGTACACACCTTTTAGCTGGATTTACAGTAAGAACTAGAGTGAAAAGCCATGTTGAAAACTGTAGTTTGGCTAGCAAGGGAATGTGTAAGTGGGCAAAGAGTATATGGTTGTTCAGAGCTTATTTAGCACCATGAAAAGACAGCAAATGCTTTTCACTGGGATAGCTGGAGAGATGCTATGAAGGCATCACAGAATAAGTCTTTTGACTCATGGGGAAGGTTTTACATTAAGAAGGGAGCGCCAAGGAATGCTGCTTGTGTCTTGAGCGCCAACTACTCCCAACCCCCTTTCAGCTACTCTAGCACTCTTTAGCCAGTGCAGACATGTTTTAAGTGGGCCTGGCTTCTACCCAGGCTGAGAGAAGAGCTTCGCATCATTTATATGGTGCTTGTTTTTTCATCCATGTAAAACACAAAAAATGAATTGTGGGGCCGTGAGACTTCCATCTGTATTTCAAAGGAAGGCCTGGGAGTCTAGACTGTGTGAGAGTCAAGAGTCTCTGCAGGTAGCCTCACTGTGATGCTTGAAATTTAAGCTACAGTGGAAGCTCAACACTGTTACAGACTTCAGAAACAAGCAACGTCTGCAAGGGAAAACTACAACAAATAGAGCCAACCTTAGAGGTCATGTGGGCTACAATGGACAGGCCCTCATGGCCAGATTGCCCAGACCTCACATCATGACCTACGTGCTACATGCATGGAACTACAAGGATTCAACTTTTGCCAACCTGGGTTTTGGTCTTTGATCCCACTCTTCCCAGCTGTTTTTATTTTGTGTATTATGTATTGTAGATGTGTAACCTTCACTCTATAGCAGCCCACTATTAAGAGGTGAAATCTGCAGAAGCTTGAACTTTATAATC